AGGCCATAAAAGAAAATCAATAGGAGTATAGAACCTAGGCTACACTATTTGAAGCCAACACTTAATAGAGTAGGCTAATATAGAATAAAATATTTTAATCAGTTAGATATTTAAGTATCAAACTGATATTTAATTTGACAATAGGCCTACTATATTGTGGGTTCTATGCGGAACTGTAACTTAACTTAAACACTAATTTAACTTATTACAGTTATGACCAGAACTGTATTCTGGGTTACTATTCAGGATATTTTATACTTCCTCCTTTTTAAATCCCATATTGTCACAGCAGAATGTTTGTGACTGTATGATTGTTGTCCCTGAGAATCACATTTGGTTATAGCTTGAAAAAGTGGAAAATTCTCCATTATGTCTTTGAGGCTGATAATTCCCCTATTTATTTGTAGGGACTTGTATCTGTAGCATGAAATTGTGTAGGCCTATACAGTGAAAAACTTGCTAGGCAGCTAGCTTAACTGGAAACTCAATATCCACATCTGACGAATAAGTTAGTGGTTCTAAGTGTAAATTATATATCCTCAAAATTAAAAGTAGGCCTAATCCAACTTATTACAATAAAAATTCAATTATTCAACTTCACCTTGTATGAAATTTTTACTCTTTGGTTTTTTTTTGCCACTACCCCTATATTTGTTAAAAACATTTTGCTTAACGGATTTTGCCTTCTAATGTTGTCGTGGAAATGTGGGGGTGGGGTATTATGATTAGTCTCGCCAAAGTGTGTGTGAGACTAGTAATAGGATACTTATACCACTAGACGCTCAACAAATTAGTTTATTAGCGAATTTCCCTATAGGGAAGTAGCTATTACCGTAGGTCTCATGGTAAGACTTAGGCCCGGGACCGATTTACTTTTTCATTTTAATGTCCCCAGAAGCCAAAAACACCATTCGTTCAAATTTTTATATATGTATATATATATATATATATATAGGTATATATATAGATTTATATATATATGTGTCCGTGAACACGATAACTTGAGTAATTTTTATCCGATTTTGATGAAATTTGGTTTGAAGGTGTAAGGCGGGATAAACTTGAATGAGTTCGCGATCCAGCATGATCGGACCATGGGAACAGGGTTTTATGGGGGGTTTTATGGGGTAAAAATGGGTTTTTCTCACTTTTTACCCTCAAAACACAAAATTTCCCAATTTTTCTCTAAACCTTCTTAAAGAGCTTAAAAAAACAAACAATTCAGTATATCAAAGTGTTTTTGTACGGTTATTGGTTACGGAGAAAACTAAAAAAATGGTAAATTTAAAATTCCCATGTTATTCTTATGGAGAATATTGTAAAATGTTGTAGTTTGCTTGTTTACGGATATCTTTTGATAAAAGTTGGCAAATTTATTTATTTTATAGTAAGCTATCAATATTTTACTAAAAACACACTACTTTATTAGTTTCCTTGTAGCAGCAAACCTAGGTACTCGTTAAACCTAATAATGTTATTTAAATAGATCAATTGAAAATCAATTCGGACAAATGGAAATTCGCTTAGACGGCAGGTTTGCTGCGGCGGGGGTATTTTCAATCATCCTGGGTGACTTAAAATTAAATAAATAGCCAAAATATGAATAAAAATACCCCCGCCGCAGCAAACCTGCAGACTAAGCGAATTTCCATTTGACTGATTGGATTTACACTGAAATGTCTACTTAAATATAACATTTATTCCCGATTTAAATAGAATTAGTTTAAAAAGTACTTAGGTTTGCTGCATCAGGGAGGGTAAAACTGTTTTTTTTTTTGTAAAATGTTAATAGTTAGTAAGAAATAAAAAATTTTCCAAATTTGATCAAAATATGTTCATAAACAAGCAAACTACAACACAGTTTACTTATTCTCCATAAGAATAACATGGGTATTTTAAATTTACAATTTTTTTAAATTTTCTCCGTAACCATTAGGCGCATTATAACGCTTCAATATACTAAATTATTTGTTTTTTTAAGCTCTACAAAATGGTTTAGAAAGAAATTGCAAAATTTTATGTTTTTTGAGTCAAAAATGGGAAAAACCTATTTTTACCCCATAAAACCCCCCATAAACCCCCGTTCCCATGGTCCGATCATGCTGGATCGCGAACTCGTTCGAATAAACGTAGGTTTACACGTTTGTACCAAATTTCATCAAAATCGGATCATTTTTGCTCGAGTTATCGTGCTAACGGACACATATATATATATATATATATATATAAATATATAAATATATAAATATATATATATATATGAATATGAACGAATGGTGTTTTTAGCCTCTAGGGACCTCAAAACGAAAAAAAAAATCGGTCCCGCGTCCAGGTCTTACCATGAGTACTACGGTAATAGCTTATTCCCTATATGGGAAATTCGCTAAAACACTTTGATCATAATTTATTTGCAAGTAGTTGATGTTTCTATACTTACAAAGAATGGTAACAGTAGGCTAAAAATACATACTCTGCCTTATATACCTTACATACTCTCACAATAAAATTGAACAGTTTTGCCAAGGCTGAGACGAATCTAAAAAATGTTTTTAAGAAAGGACTTTCAAAAACACCTACCAGACTTGGTAAAAAAGCATTTTTTACAAAATTAGTAATTGTATGAAATTTTATCAATGGATGTGACAGTTTTTATTCAAAAGACTTTTGAAATCTCTATATTTAAACATTGGATAGAGCATCGAATTGACTTACCTGGAGTATTATTTCAATGTGGTTGATAAGTTTGTTGTTTCCCCTACCTAAGAGATAGACCTGTTATCTTATGAAGGTCATTCATCAGATATTGAAGCACAGTGTAGCATTTACTATTAAAAAACTTAACCGTCGCATAGCACTTAAGTTAATCATAGGCCATGTATACATTAGTAAGTATGTGTACAATTATTTTATGGAATATTTTTTTTCAAATTTGAATAATAAGGAATAACTATAGAATTTTGATTTTAGGCCTAAGATACAGCACATAGTAAGTAAGATTTGTGTCTAAATTTAAATAACAGTACGGTATCTCAAAATTTATTATTAGCTATTACTTCATATCTTGGAAAAATAATATGTAGGGCTTACTAAAAAAAACATTTAAGCAAGATACAGCACATAAGTTTAGTAAGATTTGTGTCTAAATTTAAATTAGGGTGCAGTATTTCAAAATTTATTATTAGCCATTCATTACCATACTTCATATCTTGGAAAAATAATATGTAGGGCTTACTAAATAAAAACATTTAAGCGATCTATGTTAAAATATAGGTACCTACAATTTTTATTTAATTTTTAATTAAATAATTTTTTTTTAAGTTTTAAGTTAACACAATTAGGTATAATGATTATTAAAAAATTACAAAACAGCTAGCTGTGGGCCAGTCCTACGCACGGGGATCAAATAGTCAGTAAAACTATATAATATGGAAAGCGAAAAGGGACCTCTTGTCGGAGATGCAAAATTTTTAGTACGGCCGATTTAAGTAATTAAAGTCAAAAATATCGAGTTTGGGGTGTCTATCCATTGTTATACATCATTTAACATAGAACATGATAGTATCGGTTAAAATCTCGAATTAAAGATGCAAAAGGTCGAAATAAATCATTTTGTTAGCCTCTGCACGGTCTGAGAAAAGGTACCTTTTGTTGTTCAATGTTATTTCGCCATAACAACAAGAGGTCCTATTTCTAATATTCCCTTTTAGCGAATTTCCCTATAGGGAAGTAGCTATTACCGTAGGTCTCATGGTAAGACCTAGGCCCGGGACCGATTTACTTTTTCATTTTGATGTCCCCAGAGGCCAAAAACACCATTCGTTCAAATTTTTATATATCTATATAGAGATATATAAAATCCGCACGATATAGAGTTATCGTCCATCCGCACGATAACTTGAGTAATTTTTGTCAGATTTTGATAAAATTTGCTTTGAAGGTGTGAGGCAGGATAAACTTGAACCAGTTCGCGAACCAGCATGATCGGACTATGGAAACGGGGTTATGGGGGGTTTTATGGGGTAAAAAGAGGTTTTTCCCATTTTTGACTCAAAAAATTATAAAATTTAGCAATTTCTTCCCAGACCACTTTGTAGAGCTTAAAAAAACAAATAATTAGGATGTTGAAGTGTTATTATGCGCCTAATGGTTACAGAAAAAATTCCAAAAAAATGTAAATTTAAAATTCCCGTGTTATTCTTACGGAGAACAAGTAAACTGTTGTGGTTTGCTTGTTTATAAACATATTTTGATCAAATTTGTTAAATATTTTTATTTCTTACTAACTATTAACATTTTACAAAAAAAACTGTTTGGCCCTCCCTGATGCAGCAAACCTAAGTACTTGTTAAAAAAATTCTATTTAAATAGGAAACACATTTTATATTTTTAAGTAGGCATTTTAGTGTAAATCCAATCAGGCTAATGGAAATTCGCTTAGTATGCAGGTTTGCTGCAGCGGGGGTATTTAAACAGATTTTAGTTCAAAAAATGAATTTTCCTGCATTCTAGTGGAAATTAAGAGAACTGCATCAAAGTTCAGTTCACGAAGGATAAAATATCTCACAAATTTTGCGGTCCCGACAAGAGGTCCCTTTTCTGAAAGCGATTTTTACGACATGCTTCAATAAAACAATTATTTGAATTAAAACTACCATGAATTAAGAAATAAATTTGTTTTTTTTTCTAAGAGGACGTTATTTAAGCTTTCTTTTGATACCAAAATCGTTTCTTAAATACGAAAAACACCGTTTTTTATGCGTATTTGAAACTTTTTTCAAAATTACCCTGTTCCGTAACGAAATTTCAAAGTCCTATAACTTTAACAAAAAACATCATACATGCGTGGGACTTGCATCAATCGTCCCTATTTGTTTTCCAGATCATATATATACTTTAACAGTAATTGCACACTAAGTTATTGCACAATAAGTTTCACCATTAAAAATTTGGTTTATAAAGGCTATATAAATTTTTAAAAGGCCTTATTTCTCTGTTGATAGAACACCATGCAGACTATCAAGTGTGTTGTTGTTGGTGACGGAGCCGTTGGTAAAACTTGCCTCCTCATCTCCTACACCACAAACAAGTTTCCCTCAGAATATGTACCGACGGTAAGTATCGTGAATGTCGTAGGCTACTCCATGAAGCTATGGCTTTTTAGTTTACCTACTTTTAAATTATACTGGGGCATGGCTGGTCATTAGGCCTACTCCATTCTAACTTGAACAATGCAACTTTTGACTCTTATTTGTAGAAAGTTGGTTTGTGAGCCTGCTTTAGCAATTGAAACTAGTTTTTAAACCAAATTGTGGCTCAGTGCTAAATATTTAATGTGCTAAGAAGATAAACTGTCAATCCTGACTGTGTTAATTACTGTTTGTTCTGTTTTTTAACTTATTTTCTGTTCAGGTATTTGACAACTATGCTGTAACGGTGATGATTGGTGGAGAACCTTATACACTTGGACTTTTTGACACGGCAGGTAATTGTCTCAATTTGTTATAACTAAATAATAGAATATTCCTAAATTGTGTATTAGTTTTACTAAGTGCTTCACTATGGAGTATGACAACAGAATGAAATATGTTTATTTACCAATACTACTAGTAGCTTCGGGGAGCGAGCTGGTCTAGTGGTTAGAGCGTGGGACTTCGGTCCAAGAGGTCTCGGTTTCAAATCCCGCCAAATCACCAATGGATTTTATCTAAGTGATAATGCCGCAATCCCTAGGTCTAGCCTGAAGAAATGTGCAAAACAATCCCGGGCTCGTGCCTTGCGTCTTAGGACAACAAAGCGGTAGGAGCGAGTCAGTAATACTGAGTAGCAAGACGCAGAATGTTTTCACAAAAGTACCTCCGCCAACCACCTCACCATGATCCGACTTTGGCTTCTTAAGATGGGAAAATTTACTAAAATCAATATAATATATCTCCCCCACCCGAAAAGCATTTGAAGACCTAGAACAAAAAGGTTCAAGTAAAAAAAAAATTAATACTGAAATATGCCAATAACTTAACCCTCTATAGTAGCAATATTTGTATGTGGTTTTATCTAGTTTGTTCCTCTGGATTTTATGTGATATAATGAACGTACACCTAATTTTATGTAACATAATTATAAAGATCAGCTTTTGAACTTGTCACAGTGACTAGCTAACCTGAATACCATAAATTGTACGTAAACATTTTGATGAAAGGAGTTTGTAAATTATACATAAATTATGTATAGGGGAGGGAAAAACTACTAACGAAATAAGTAGTTTGACTTTGGTAACCAACATCGTGATAGTAATAAATTATTATATTATTTTTCTCTAACTCAGGTCAGGAAGATTACGACAGGCTTCGCCCTCTCAGTTATCCACAGACCGACGTCTTCCTTGTGTGTTTCTCTGTGGTGTCTCCGTCATCATTTGAAAACGTCAAAGAAAAGGTAGGTAATCATGGTCAGCTACCAAAAGAATAAGTGTCATTACTAAATAGCCCGCTTAGATACATTGTACCAGCGACAGATGAAACTATGAATGAATTAATAACCTAAAAGTATTAATTTCAATACGTCTTGTGATTATGTCTTAACAGACTGCCATCCAGCAAACACTGCATGCGTTTGAATTGTACCCTGCGTTGTCCCTGACTCTGTGAAATAACAGGCAACAACAAAACATGTTTTTCCTACCACTGCATGGAAATTATCTCATTACCACACCTGTAAACAGTACGCAAAATAGCTCATTTCCACTTAATTAATAGCTCGCTAAATCAGCTGATTTCACTGTTGGCATTTCTATAAAACATTAACATCCGGTAAAGCATCTACGAAAGTGATTTATACGTCTCGCCACCCTAAGTTGAGGCAGCCCAAACTGACCGGGAGGGTCATTACCGGCTGTTCCCGCACGACCCTTTATAATCCGATTAGTGACACTTCCGTGAACGCTCTAGTTCAATAATTATCATTAACAAATTTTAAATCCAATGTATAAATTTAGTCATTTACAATAATAACTTTTAATTTATTTAACATTATTTAACTCTGTTGATTTAACAAACATTTCCGTCTTTGTCCCATCAAAAACGGACAATGTTTACGGTTTGTAAGCTATAAACAAAAAACCAATTAGTGTTTATAGCTCACAAACCGTAAACATTGTCAGTTTTTAATGGGACAAAAACGGAAATGTTTGTTAAATCAAAGTTATTAATGTAAATGACTAAATTTATAGATCGGATTTAAAATTTGTTAATGATAATTATTGAACTAGAGCGTTCACGGAAGTGTCGCTAATCGGATTATAAAGGGTCGTGCGGGACCAGCCGGTAATGACCCTCCCGGTCAGTTTGGGCTGCCTCAACTTAGGGTGGCGAGATGTATAGTAGGTAGCGGTAGCCCAATATTGATGGTAATAAGTCAATAGTTATTTATTTGACTTAAGTTTTATATTCTAGAGATAGTTGTTGTGTCTTATTCTTATTAGGAAATAAAATTTTGACTGTGAGTGACTCAATGATTTTCAATTTGAATGAAAAGTTTGCCACAGCTGGTCCAGTTAGGATAGGATGTCTACTCCCGGTCCATAGTAGCCTAGATCAGTGTAAGACACTCATTCAACACAGTCTTTAAATTTAATTATTGGTTTTAAAAATCAGAAATGCATAGAGATGGTCCATTTAGACGTAATGCCAACTTCAATATCAAAAGTCAATGCTACCATTGTATACTGATTTGAATATGTTTCACAGTGGGTTCCAGAAATAACGCATCACTGTCAAAAAACGCCGTTTCTATTAGTAGGCACACAGATAGACTTGAGGGATGATGCTGGCACAATTGAGAAGCTGGCTAAAAACAAACAAAAGCCAATATCATTCGAGCAAGGGGAGAAGTTAGCCAAGGAACTGAAAGCCGTCAAATATGTCGAGTGCTCTGCCTTAACACAGGTGAGTTGAATTGTTAAGTAATTTTTTATCTGCATTCGTTTATCTTGTCGGTGGCCTATTCTACGTTTCTTGTGAGGAATGATCCAAACCGTGTTCTTAATAGACTATTTCAAATCAACCTTTATGGATACCATCATCAATTGTGGCTCAATGAAAATGATGTCTCGGTCCAAAACCGATCCCACTTGTGATCAAACCACCAACCTTTAAATTTGAAGGCAAGCACTTTAACATCACAGCTACTGTGATTACGCTGCCAATTAAAGCATTATGTTATACTTACTTAACATATCTAAGGAGAGATATGGTTGCACCAACAAAACCCCTCCATATCTCTCATCTTCTGCATCTTCCTCAGTTGCTCCTATTCACTCTATATTTCACTTTGGTTGTTTCCACAATTTTTGCCTGGCCTTCCTCTTAGTCGTCTTCCTTCAGAGTTCATTATTAAAACTTGTTTCAAATGATTATCTTTCCCTCTACTCAAAATGTGGCCAGCAAATCTAATCCTTTAACAATTATGTTCACAAACTACATTCAGATATTATACAGTTTTCTTAGTTTTTCTATTTTGTCTTTTCCTCCTTTTTTCAAAAAATGGCCCATACATTTTCCAAGAATTTTGTTTCCAAATGTGATAATTTTTTACTTCCTTTTATTTAATTTTCATGTTCCTACTTCATAGAGTAATATTGGACTGATGATGGTTTTTTGACAAATCTGATGTTACACTTTACCTAGTCATGTAGTCCAGCTTGTTGTAGTGATCAGTTGAATGTGACTGACATGTGTTTCGCCAAGATCCAACTGGTCTCTACATTAAGTTGGATTGTATGACGAGGTAGATTTTACCATCAGATTTGTCATGGAGCCTTAATCCAGAGGACCTCAACACGGAATAATTGATGGTTTTGTATTGTTTTTTTGTGAGTAATTTTGAAGAAAAGAGTTTCTTGCATGAATAGAACAAATTGGTTACTATGGAAATGGAATTATGGTATACACTGATTTTTAAATTGTTTTCCTATTTGTTTAGTTGTTGCTTTGACAACATCTACAGAGTGAATAAAAAGTCAAGACCTCCATCTAATATTTTTCTAAGTAAATAATACAGAGATATCTTTTTGGTGGGCGTGAAAACTTAGCAGGAAGTTTCATTTTATCAGGGTGTCTAGTAGTCGGGAAAATCGGGAAAGTCGGGAATTAGTATTGAATTTCAAAATGGTCTTGAAAGTCGGGATTTAGTCTTAAATTTAATTTCAAAGTCGGGAATTTTCATGATTTTGCCGCGATCGGCGTCTTGCGTTTACGTAACCGCGAAAGCCAATGATGATTATACCTGCTCGGCCACGGGAAATGTTCATGATTTTGTCGCGATCGCGGACGACGACGATGACGTTTCCGTGGCCGTGGGAGACGACGATGACGTTTCCGTGACCGCGGGAGATGACAATGACGTTTCCGTGACCGCGGGAGATGACGATGACGTTTCCGTGACCGAGGGAGATGACAATGACGTTTCCGTGACCGCGGGAGACGACGATGATATCTGCTCGGCCGCGGGAAATGTTCATGATTTTGTCGCGATCGCGGACGACGACGATGACGTTTCCGTGACCGCGGGAGATGACGGTGATGTCTAAACAGCCGCGGGAATTGTTCATGATTTTGCCGTGATCGCGGACGACGACGATGACGTTTCCGTGACCGCGGGAGACAACGATGATGTCTACACGGCCGCGGGAAATGTTCATGATTTTTCGCGATCGCGGACGACGACGATGACGTTTCCGTGACCACGGGAGATGACGATGACGTCTCCGCCGCGGGAGACAACGATGATGTCTACACGGCCGCGGGAAATGTTCATGATTTTGCTGTGATTGCGGACGTCGACTATAACGTTTCCGTGACCGCGGGAGATGACGGTGATGTCTATACATCCGCGGGAATTGTTCATGATTTTGCCGCGATCGCGGACGATGACGATGACGTTTCTGAGACCGCGGGAGACGACGATGATGTCATTGATGTTTACAAGCCCGCGGGAAATGTTCATGATTTTGCCGTGATCGCGGACGACAACGATCACGTTTCTGTAACCGCTGCAGTCAATGATGATGTCTAAACATACGGTACGCGGAAGATGTCATGATAAAAAAAACAAATTTGCTAGTTTGTATTTTTTATTGCTGCATTATTTCTTTACTTGAAAACACGACATTATCATAATACTACTTTATGACAAAGACAGGGGTTGGTGTAGTATTATTTAGAAAATTTGGTTAAGCTATAAAAATTGGTATCGGTATCAAGAATTGAGAATCGATACATTTTGGTATCAACACCCACTAATTGTTGAAAAAACTAACTAGTCTTGAAAAATCTGGAATTAGTCTTGAAAAGTCTGGAATTAGTCATGAATTTTGTAATGGAAATAAACTAGACACCCTGTTTTATGGTTTTGAAATTTTTTAGTGTCCCTCAAAAAGGAGGAATTTTGGGGGAGGAAACTTAATATTTTTAAAAGTAAACCCCCTTCAAGTGACACCTCGATTTTAAATATTTACAAAAACTTAATGAATGATGAAAACCATCTACGGTATCTCTTCTCTTTCCAAAATGGTAGCCAATATAAGCATTACATTGATTTTTTCTTTATACTCTTCAATACGTATTACAGGCAATATTAATATCATTTTGGATAGAGAAGAGAACAGATAGCGAACTCTAGTTTTCACCAATCACTAGTAGTTTAAGTTTTTGGAAACACTTTAAAATGAGGTGTCACTTAAAGGGGGTTTACATTTAAATATTTTGAGTTGCCCCCAAAATCCCCCATTTTTGGGGGACACTCAAAATTTTCAAAATCATTAACCGAAACCTCCTGCTAAGTTTGCACAACCACCAAAGGGGTATCTCTGTATGTTTCCTTAGAAAATATTAGATGGGGGGGATGTCTTGACTTTTTATTCAAACTGTATATCAAATAAGAATGTTTAAATACCAGTAGGGAATGGCCAAGTGTCTGATAAGGTAACTTTTAAAGAGTTAGAGTTCCGCTAGCTTATTGGTTGAATGTCAAACCATAGAATTAGGATTAAACCTAGAAGTGTTGATTGATTTTTTAAACATAGTTATAAATAGTTGGTACTAGTTATATGATGTTGGTTGCAGAAAGGACTAAAGAATGTCTTTGATGAAGCTATCTTAGCAGCACTGGAACCACCAGAGCAGAAAAAACCAAGAAAGTGTCGCATACTGTAGGAGCCTGGGCTGCCAAGAATGGTAAGTGCAGTTTTGATTTCCTGTTAGCCTTTACTGATGTATATTTTTAATTGCTGGACAAGTACAATAATTAAGTTAATTTTGATCAGTAATATGACTTTTTTTCCAGTTTTAAAGTGGGTAGAAGAGGATCCATTGTGGTAAAAAAATTCAAAAAGCTAAGATTAGAGTTGCATTGATGGAATGAATGGATACTAGTGATGGTCAAAACCAGAAATTTCGAATCCAAAACAGAAACTTAAAAAATCGAATCTCGAATCTCAAAACCTAAACGCGAAACTTTTTAGTTGCCCAAAAAATACAAGTAATGATAACATTTTCATTATGATTATGTGATCAAAACTGAAAGAGATTGACTCCTAGTCCTGATACAGAAATAATAACATAAATGTGGCAGATAAACTTCAAACCCAAAACATAATTTTTTTATAAACAACTAACATTAAAATAAATTAATCTCACCATATTAAATTAACGATCAGATGATATGACATTATAATGATAATAATTAGAACATTTAGTGGCCAATAAAAATTTCTTAGTGTCTAATAAATATTCATATGAAACTGAATTGTAAGTTGTTCCAGTATTTAAGATGCCTTTTGCAGTTAAGAATACAATTTACTTGTTTCATTAGTGTTTATGGTGATCTGTTTGTTCCATTGCTACCAGCTTGTTTGTAAACAATAATAATGACACAAAAATCTCAGCAGTTTCAAAAATTAAAGTGACAAAATTTTCAATTTCAAAACTTTTGAATCTCGAAACTGAAACTTTTCTTAAGTTTTGATGGTTTTGAGATTTGATATTTGGTTTTGACACATCACTAATGGATACACTACTCACCTAAAGTTCCAGGCACGACAAAAGCTTGTTAAACTTTATATTTCCCCCTTTAGTTGAGACCTAATATCACAGTATGACAGAAACTACAAACATTACCTTTATATGATTACTAGTAAACTTAAGTAGTAAACTAAGGTAGGTAGTAAACTAAGTTTGAGAAAAATATAGGTAAAACCTAGCAATCTTTTCTTTAGGAGGGACTTTTTTAACATTTTGTATACTATCTCTAGTAGTCCTACCTGGGACTCTTTTCTTAAGTGTGTTGGTTGTTTATCAATTCCTTCTTCTTTGGTGTATTACCCAACCAAGTGTTTTTTTTTTCACGAACCTACCTTCAGAGTTGAGGATTCAAAACAGTTGATGATAGCCATGTTTGTTTACAGACTGCAACCAAATACTATAGCTTATTTTTATTAGATTGAAGTCTGTAATTCCATATTCCATTTATAGTGTACGATGAGGAACATTGATTGAAAAATGGTTTACCCTGTTCGGCTTGTCGACAACAATCGTAGCCTGCACAATGCAACTTGTACCCTAACTAGGCCTACAGTGTTTCAAAGATTAGTTTCCAATTTATTTTGTGTCTAATGTGTTCTTTTCTAACTGTTGTGTTTTAATCACCAAAGAAAACTGCATTTCTTGTAATATATATTTTGTTTTGCAACCGTAATTTTTTTCTGTATTTTATTACCATTTCAAAAATACCACGCAACGTAATATTATTTATTTTTTGTTGATTGTTGCAGAATGTGGGACGGCGACCATCAGCAGTGCTGCCAACCTAAGCCATAACATCAGCGTTTGTAGCTAAGCACTGTGGACCCTCGGGTCCTTCAAATTGTAAATAATTTAGCCTAGAAGTAAATTTACTACATTATCGATCCGTTTAAAAGAATTGTCAATGATCTATTAATGCATTTATTCAGTCTCCCCGGCCCAGCCGCTGGACTTTCAATATGCGTAAATTAAGTTCCAATACGTTTATCGAAACTGAATAAACTCATTAATGCTACCAGAAGGATGATAGGAAAGATCTTTCGGACCTATAATGTTTATGGTACGATTAGCTTATAAGTATTTTACACCACTAAACCAATCATAACGTTTTGTACAGAATAAAACCCAGTTTAACACCTAAATTTACCAGTTGTTGAATACAATTTTTTTATCTTTTACAATGACTGCTGTATTATTAACAGTATATTGTGTTTGGGCATTTGTATAGCCTAGAAGGAAAGTGTTAGGATAATGAAAAGATAGATATAGTTTCAAAAGGTGTTTCTTCCTATTGAGTATTTCCCTCCTTTCTAAGTATAATTTAAACTTGGTGTTTTTGTAATTGGAATTTACGCCTTTGTACTAACCCTTATTTAAATCGAATGTGTATGTCACTCTTAATTATTATTTTTTTTACTCCTTTTATCACCTAATCTGATTTTTTCACCATAAAGAACAGTTATTTTCTTACAAAAACGATGAGACGGTGTATAGCTAAAATGTTTGTATTGGGAGAAAGACAGAGAGCATTCATATTTTTATAAAAAAGAAGATATACAGTAAGAGGTCTATTTTGCCTTGTAGACATAGTATGGTGTATGTTTGAATTATGTTATTTATTGCCTGATTGATTATATTTGTATCGTTTTAGTTTGAAGGATAAATAAAAAATTGTTTGCCTTTTCGCTTCTGCAATTTTACAGCTCATACTTAAAAAACACTTACACCTTAGTGTCTGTGGTTTTGTTTGAGGTTAGTATAGTAAAACTTTTTAAAGCAACTCGATAAATCGTTGAAATGTAGATCATGACAATTTCGATCCACTTTTTGTTAAGAAGGCTAAATTTTCTGTTGACAGTTAGTCAGACTTAGTTACTTAAAAAAAAGATCAAACAGAAGAAATAAGCTAGTAAATGAGGTTGTTAAAAGGAACCAAATTCAGTAGATTTCATTTGGGTAACTTTTGTGCCATACCGTTTGAAATTGTGATTGAAATTTATGAGCTTATTTACAAATGAGACCTGTAATCTTATGATTAAAGCCTAAAATGTTTTAAATAGTTGATAAACAAATAGTAAAATCGAGCACTGATTAGAAATGCATTAAAAACTAGCAAAAATGAAGACCTTATTCTGTGAACTATCTTTAGACAAAATGAATAATAGCCTAGACTAACCAACACAAGAGAGTACAGTAGACTCCCTCTTATCCGGACACCTTCTAACCGGACTACACTTGGCGGAAATGACATCTCTTTAACCCGGAAAATTTTATCAGCACATTAGTTTAACTGGACTAGATCGGCAGAAAGTGGGCGGCACTGAAATGACTGTTCTCATGGGAAAGATTTGAGACCAGTGATTTTGTGTCTAAATACAATGCTCTTCTAAATTTAAGTCGAATACTGTATACAGTATCCATTTAAACAGTCCGTTTTAACAAGTTTTTGGGGACGACGGTTTAACCGGAAAAACTGTTATCCGGACTAGCCTCGGTCCCGAGGAGTCCGCATAAGAGGATGTCTACTGTATGTTTAAACTATAATAGTCTACATGGTACAGTTTAGTTATTATTATAGATACAATTAACTAAGGCTAGGTAGTACAATTGGATACACAATCTTCTCTTCAACCTTAAAATAACAATTTTCTAGTTAATAAAACTTATAAAATTCACATTGATTGACACAAAAAGGCAAAACTGAAAATGGTTGATATACCAGTTGATTAACCACCTAAACATGTAAAGAAAAGGCTTGACTGAATCCAGTAAAAGCTGTATTTGTAAAAGCATTCATTATTGTAAATACTGATTTGTATATAGTAAAAGTGAACAGATTTTTTATGTGTAATGTCTAAAATTGTGTTTATATCGGAGTTCCTCAAGGGATAATCATTAAGTTTTGATACCATACAAAGACAAAATAGCTCAACGTTAGCAGGCTCGGGTGGTCAGGGAAGTAAATCGGCATGAAGCATATCCAAGATGTAAAATGATTTGTTATTAATATTACATTAAGATTTAAAATACAGTAAGGGGCAACACACTGCTAGATTGATGACTACCATGTAACACAAATCCTTTGATATTTATTAATAAATATATACCTTATTATAAAAGAGGATTGGCAATGTTATTTCAACCTTTGTACCATTAGTTCAGTCGTAAGTTAAAAATACCCCTCAACTGGAAATAATTCCCTAAGCAGGGAAACTTTGCATTTGTAGTACTAGTACCGAGTACCCAGTAAAAAATATAATTAAAAATTAAAATTTGTGCATGCTGTGCTACGGCCGCCATATTGGAAAAATACAAAAATGTTGTTTAAAGGAAAGTTAAAAACACACAAAATACATCTTTTTACTTCTTTACATCATTTGCTATATCAATATTAAATTTAAACTTTGCATGTTATTCTTGAATAAGAAAACTGTTGGAGTTTGCTTGCACAGTATATGGATATCTTTTGATCAAAACAAAACATGTGATGAAAGTTAAGTGGTTACAAAGCTAAATTATGAAAATTGCAGATGAGTTAGTGTACCCTCTGATGAAGCTATAGGTTGACAATGGGAGGTCTTTTTACACCAAAGACAACAACAGTCTAGATGCTAGACCTCCATGGAGGAAGAATTCATAGTTTGAAACTTTAAAAGTGATACATTTTTGTTTGGAAATATTCCCTCTGATTATTGAATCTTCCTTCTTACACCTTGAGAAAAATTCCCTTGTCATAACTAAACTAGTTTTAAGCCATCAGAAGTTTAAGCAATAATGAATGAATTATTTAAAAACCATACATTATGTGAAAAATTAGTAAACTCACAGAGAAGTAAGATGCAGAGGAAACATGCTTATGGGATGTCCACCCGTTTGCCCCTTTCAGCTCTAGAGCTGCTGAAATATACTTGCGAGCAATGTGTGGAGATTCCTATCGCCACAGAAAACATATTACTATAACCCAGAATGCCAACCGCATGGTAAAAAGCATTAAGCGGTTTGAGAGAGCTTTGCCTGTCAATCCGTAGGCAGCGCCACCAGCGATGCTATGCTATTGCATGGCAACGCTGGTGGCGCTGCCTACGGATTGACAGGCAAAGCTCTCTCAAACCGCTTAATGCTTTTTACCATGCGGTTGGCATTCTGGGTTATAGTAGTACGTTTTCTGTGCTATCGCACAGGGTCTTCACCTCCGTGAGCGTTGCAGTATAGAGTCGGTGTTGGACTTTGCCCTAGACACCACTCCATTACTGAAGTGTACCAAAAGAGTACTCTCTATTCATTACTTTTCTGTTGTAAACTAGAGTATTATCCCAAGCAATGAAGGAATACAGCCATTACATATGCATTTATATAACGATGTACAAAGTAGCACATAATTACAAGTACATGATTCTACAAGTATGTGATGGTTTAAACAGAATGAATCCATAAGTCACTAAAAACTGGACCCAGCTTTACCTATTCATTGGGATTTTAATAATAATAATAAATGGTCTTTATTCAGCAAGCGTTTTTCAGATATTTACAATTCTGCTTTACAAAACAACTCTTTGTCATTAACCTACTTAAACTATAAATAAAAACAATCCATCAAACAATCTAAAAACAATATAAATAATCAATCTTCTCTGTGGTGATACAATGTGAAAACAATCAATAATAGCGATCTTTAATAACAATCTATAAAAATAATCTATAAAACAATCTATAAAACAGTCTTTAAAATCAATCTATAATTTAACAATCTTAAAACTATCCAAAAATCAACAATGTACAACAACAATAGTTTGTAGCAAAGGACTCAAAACTCACCCAAATATGCTTTTAATCTTTTTTTGAATGAGGTAAGAGTGTTGGCCCCCTTTACCTGATTAGGGAGAGCATTATACAAGGCGGGACCGAAGTATGAGAAGGCGCGCCTCCCCACCTCATGCCTGACTCTGCGAAAGTGTAACAACTTGTCCTGCCTCGTGCTGCGGGCAGAGACATCTCGACGAGACAGAAGTCTCTCACACAGGTACTCAGGCTGGCCGAGCTCTATAGCTTTACGTATCAGGCTGCAGGTTAAGTTTATTTTAATTATGATCCTGACTAAAGAACAGTCGATTTTAGTAGTAACAAGACTAATCACTCATCTAACAATCATCTTAAAGTATTACTTTCTCACCCTATACATAGTGTATGGAGAAAGTAGTGTTTAGTCAAAATTTTTGACTTTTGAGTGGATTTATCTGTTTTTGATACCCCTGTACCCAAAAAATTTGGTTTAAAAGTGATGTATTGTCTTGTGTGTGTGGATGTGTACAGAGCTGAATACCTGTAGTGGATTTTGATGAAGATTGGTATGTAGGTACTAAATAAAATCAGTTTTATTTCCACAATCTATATTACTTATTTAATACGCAAGCAGGATTTTTGTGACAATTACTCCTCCGAAACTACTGAACCGATTGCCATGTTTTTGGTGTCATTGGAAAGAGCGTATCGTGAAGTTGTGCAGGAAACTTTCTTTTTAGGAAAATAATTAGAGAGTGAGGCCCTGGGGCCCTTTAAAGTTTCGTATTTCTCCATAAGATTAACATGGGAAACAAAAATTGTTTTGAAACTCCAGCTGTTGTCAGAAATTCAATATTAATAATTGGTCACCATGGAAGCAGGAGAAAATTCACAATGTTTACATTTGCTTTGACATTTAAATGTAAACAACCAGAACTGTCAAATGCCTATTTAAAAATTTCAGCCAGCTGATAAAAAAAAAATAAAACAACTATGTGGCAGGTTTTTTTAATCTTAAACTTTATGATAGATTATTTATTATAAATCTATGTCAATGATTATGAAACAGATTTTTCCCGTTGCAAAAATTAATAGTGAGTAAAAGAGGATATGTTAATTGTAAACAGTCGATGTGTAAATTATCTATATGTTGTATTACAAATGTTAAAAAAGATGTTGGTTTGTGTTTAATGATATAAGTTATTAATTATAGAATTTTTATTTTAAGGATTTGGCATATGAGTAAGCCTATGATATAACACCATTTCAGAGTTCTGCCAGTGTTTGTCTAACTCTGTCATGTAGAGTTTAAAGTAGCCTACACCTTATTGTCTACAAATTGGCTAAAAAACTTAGGTACGGTGTTTTATAAAAGCTGACAGCCTTTTTACGTTGACTTAAATTGTAAGCTTACCTTTTCCCGTCTATGGACAGTTTGATTGTTAAAAATTAACCCTTTAAACTGGAATAGGACTGTTATGTAAATTGTGAGTATTCCCATTAGTTATTAATCTTTTAGTTGTCTCTTTTAAAATCATCGGAAATTATGACTGTTTTAGTTTTTAAACAAGTTATTTGTTTATAAATAACTCCTGTACTTATTTGCAATTGCTCGATTTCGAGCAACATGTACACTAGTATATACAAAATTTACAATTTCAAAAAAAAACACAACGAATATGGGCCTATAATAGTCTTGAAGCATTATACAAAACATATGGGATATGGCAAAAGGGCAGTGAATCTATCCACTAATGTGACGTCATGGATCCTGCAGCATGGCCTGTTTTTCTAGTTTCTAGTGGGGCCTTGGTTGCACCCCATCTCACAATATTTATTTAGTGATAAAGTGATGATCGTGTCAACATAACATTAAAGGGTCAATATGATCTGTTTGATAATCCACCTTTTTTACACCTAGCATTCATATTCATCTTAAATTACTCAAGTACGATAATGGTACGATGCTGCCTCGGTGAAGTTAATTAGTGGGGGTGAAAAATCACATCGCAAGTAAAATTACCTTACCACCAGGGTAATGAATCAACAGGAATTTGCAATTAATTCACCTAACAAATTAAATTTACGTGCCACTGACCTCAATATCTTTCAAAGGAAATTCACGTGTGTAGATTCTAGAAATTAGTGCTATCCCATACTCTTTTGCTTAAGAGGAAATAGACCACATACTTAGTCACATAGACCCAAACAAAACAAGAAACAAACTACTTATAGATTAGGAGCAGCAGAAGTTGAAGTGATTTGATTAGGTACTGAACATGCACACCGATATATACTGTACCACACATCTATGTTTTTTACAAAAAAAAAAAATAAAAATTATCTCTTAAAAAAGAACAATGTTCTTTTTTAAGAGATAACGATAATGTTCTCTATAGTTGTCCATTAGCAAACATGTCATGTTTGCTAATGGACAACTATAGAGAACATTGAGGTCTCATGGGTAAAAATACCAACCAGACCGCCGCGTCGCGTCGGCAATAGATAAAAAGAAGTAACAATAAAACTTAACCTAATCGTCTGCCGGTCTGTCTAGCGTAAGCGTCAGTGTAGCGTTTGTCAATAATTACCTTATTTTGATTTTTGAATATATTTTATTACAACTAACAAAAACTCTACATAATTTAGCATGTTTTATCATGTAAGTAAGCTTGCAAATTGGCACCGATAAATAGGCTTAGAGTTTTCAATGTACCTAATTATCTCATGTAGGCCTAGGCCTATGCTAAGTTAATTAGACCTGGGCTATTCAGTCCTTTATAAAAAAAAAACATTTGACCCAATAGGTTATTTATATCTATGCCGGTACTTTCCTGTTAAAGGGAACATTCATTATTATCGATGATTTTTTTCTCGATATATCGATGTTTTTGTTTTCCGATCCATTACAAATTGACAACAACTAACTGATCTGGTTCAGGCTAAAATAGTCTAGTAATATGGATTTAGAAATGAAACTGTTCTAAGCTAACAACCTAACATAACCAACCAAACTTGCTGTACCATTTAAAAATCCCTTTGGGTTTGAATATAAAAGGCAAGTTATAAACACGGAATTTTTAAATGTTACAGCAAGTTTGGTTAGTTATGTTAGGTTATTTTTTTAGAACGTTTCATTTCATTAATGTTTGTTGATACTGAACAATATTTTTCGTAGTTGTCAGCTGATATGTTTCAATTTGTTAATATCGATATATCGAGAGAAAAAATCATCGATAATAATGAATGTTCCCTTTAACAGGAAAGTACCTCTATGCCTATATTAGAACAATATTAATTTATACAAGGACTTGAATAACTAACTTGTTACAATCCTACTTAT